TAAATATTTATACATATATACATAAATATCTACATACATATATGATACATATTATATATTTACATATATATCTATTACATATATACACCATTATATATATATACATAATATCTAATACAAATACGTACATATATATATACGTATATGTAATAGATATGTATTATATATGTATATATATGGATATATAGGTATATATATATGGATATATATATATATATATGTAGATATAGGATGTAGATATATATGTAGTATATATGATATATATAAACGATATATATATAGATATATATTATATATATATATATATAGATATATATTAGAAATATTGATATATATACGTATAACATATATTATATATATTATTATATATATATATATATATAGACACACATATATACATTATATATATATATATTAATCAACCGCCGAACGCGGTTGATTAGGAAAGGCATTCAATCAGGCAAGGGTAGTGACACCGCAATATAACCTTCTCAATACTGAAATTGACGAGAGGACCTATGTCCTCAGTGGAAGAATGGCTGTTGAAAAAAAATTTATATATATAAGATATTATATATAGAGATAAATCTATATATATATATATATCTACAATGAATATTAATATGTATATTGTATATGATATACAATGAATATATATATATTATACTATAGAATATATATATATATATATATATATATATATATATGTATATATATATATATATGTATATATATATACAATGAATATATATATATATGTGTAATATATATATGTGTTATGTATATATAATATATATATACAAGGAAAATATTATATATATATATATCATATATATATATATATTATATATTATATATATATACACTGAATGATATATATATATAGAGATTATAGATATAGAACTATATTAGACAATGAATTATATATATATATATAGAGAGATATATATATATACAATGAATATCTATATATATAATTATAATATATATATATAATATATATGAATATATATATTTTTAACATATATATAGATATATATATATTATAGATATATATATATATATATATATATATATATATATTCTATGAATTATATATATATATATATATAGATATATATATATATATATAGTATATATATATATGAATATAGATGAAATAATATAATGAATATATTATATATATATATAATGAATATATAGAATATATATATATATTATGAAATATATATATATATATATATATATGAATATATATGAATATATATATATTTATAAGATATCTCTATATATATATATATATATTATATATTATGTATATATATATGAATTATATTATAGATATCTGAAATATCGATATATATATATGGAATAATATATGGAGTATATATATGAATATATAATATATATATATGACTAATAGGTATTATATATATATATAATATATATTCAGACATATATAATAATATATAGATATATATATATGATACTATATTATCTAGATATTCATATAATACTATATATATATGTATATATATATATATTAGATATTAATATAGATTCATAGATATATATATTAATTTTTTTATATTATAGATAGATATATAATATATTCATACTTATATATATAGATATATATATATATAGTATATATATGAATATATATATATATATATATATATATATATATATATATATATATATATATATTCATATATATATATATATATATTATATATATCTATATATATATATATATATATATATATATTATATATATATATTATATTATATATATATATATATATAATATATATATATATATATATATATATATATATATATATATTCATTATATATA